TTCACATCACCCATTGGAAAAGGTTTTCTCCTTTCTTTGCTCAAACCACAAGAGATTCCAGCCTGAGAAAACAAAACTGAGTTTATTTAAGAATAAGTTAGATTTTCCTTATAATGACAAGAGTTACAATGACTTATAATTAGAAGCAAAAGTGGATGCATACCTGTTCCTGAACGTGTTTGGTTTAATTATCAGGAATACTCTTAAAACGGCTCTTGATTAGATTTGTAGCAATTCTCCTAATTTAACACCAGATAACCTCACATAAAGGTGAATCTGGGCAGTTTTCTAGTTGCAGTATGCTACTTGAACCAAGTACTTTTCTTTCTGTCCTTTCCCTTTCCCAAAAAGGCCTCTCCTTTCATTACTTTCTTTCCCTACTGTAAAATTTCAGAATTATTCAAACCACTGAATCATCTACAATACTACTTTTATAAATCAGTCTGAACTACACAGCCTATGCAGCTCAAATCTTATTTCCTCTGTTTCTGATCAATTTTTTCCCTGTATTTATGATTTTGTATTCAGCACAACTTCTAAGTCTTCAAGTGCTGAAGGCCTAGTCAGCATATGATCTTAAAGGCTGACCTAAGAGCTATTTTATAAAATCTGCATTCTCAAATCAAAGAACACTGCCTTATGTATTTACTTGAAAACTCAAAGTTTCTGCAACATCACTACAGTATCCCAACTCATCATATGTGAGCTATAGCAATGACAAAGAATTTCAATAAATACAAAATACAAATAATAATATCCCGTTTGAAGTAAACTTCCATGACTTTGTATTAAAAAGTTGTATAAAGATTACTTTCATTGTCTTTTTAGTATAAAAATTCTTTGGTAACATGGTCATTCCATATAATTAAAGTGCGCTCTGGATTACACTTTTGTCCTGGAAAAGTGGTTTTATTGTTGCAGCTAACTCAAAAAGGGCAATAATTTGCACTATTTATCTTCAGAAAACAAAGATCATGTTTTACAATATTCTCCCACTGTTCTGGTGGGGGAGTCAGCCTAGAAGTCAAACACTGGCACATATTTTAAAGTTGATCCTCATTTCTTGTCAACTATGTCATCATTTAAATGCTAAAGATCCATTTTAACTGAAGAAAAAATAACCCCACATTGACAACTCTCGTTTTTCATGTCACTGTAAGCTAGGCAAACAAAACACACAAACTCAAAAGAATCAGATTTTGTTGTCTTCAGAATAGTTCTTAACAGATTTAAACATGCTTGAATTTATGCCATAAATCAGTATGTACCATTTAATCTTCAGATTTGTAAAGAAAGTGCCTTTATAGTTACCTCAAGATAACATTTCTGTAAGAATGTCTCTCATGTAAAATAGAGAAAAAGCCACACTGCGCTCATTCCATTTTTCACATCAAGTACATTAGATCATCAATATAATTATACTCTCTACCAAAATTAAAAACCTAAACAGCATCAGAAGTGCAAAAGTTAAAGTACTCTAATGTAAGTAAACGCAAATACATGTTTATAAGGAAATATAAACTCCTCAATTACACATAGCATTAAGTTTTATACATGTGAACCCACATGTATATTGTTTATATACAAAACCACCATATAAAGATATAGAAATAGGGAGGGTCTATACACATATACACACAAATATATCTATATACATACACACACTGCATTACCATCCTACTCACACCTACATATGCTCCACTCTGCACACTTTGAGAAGATTATTTCAACTTAACATAAATTTTGAACAGAAGTAAATTAAGTGGGTGTGTAAACCTGCGCAGAGTAAGGGTCATAATCATCTCAAATCAGGTATGCCCACACTACCGTGGAAGAGGTTCCCTATAAACAGATCATCTGACTCTTGATACTGAAGAAAAGTCAGCACAATCCTAAAAATAAAGCTGTGTACAAGACAACTGCTTAAATATTTAACAGCACACCACAGACACAGTGTTGATTTTAGCAGTCTAAATAACAACCATTGAGAAAAACAAAACCACGGTTTCCCATCCTCACATACTGCTTCAACAATCCAGACCAAACAGAAAGTGTGGAAGGAAATTGTCACCTGGTTGATCACTATTTTACACACCCAGAGAAACTTCAAAAATAGCATGAGATTTCAGTATAAAATTCTGCACAATATAGTCTCCTGCTTGACTGTGATAAGCAAATACATCTTTGTTATAAAATCAAGAGTAGACACCATTGCAAATCATTTCAGGAAAAGATAAAATCATGAACCCACAACACACAAATAGTTACCTCGTAACAGTTTTAGATAGCCCATAATTTTTTTTAAAGTCTCTGCCAGTATGCCAAGTAACTTTGAATACGCAAACAATCCCATCAGGTTTAGTGAAACAATGCATGCAAGTAAAATCATGTATATAGACACAATTGCAGCCTTAAGCTAAAAATGGAGGCTCTAAGGACTAAACAACATACAAATTGCTCTGCAGGGTGGGGGAGGTAGAGGCCACCATTTAACAAGAAAATAAAAACAAACAAACCAAAGCCTATATTTCTTCCAGTTTTCCCTTTCTTTGAGCCACTTCCCTCTTGACAGCCTTGGGAAAGCAGATATCTCAGCTCTGAGAAACTGCGAGTATAAGAAAGTTCCTCATTCAAGTGTGCCCTGCAGAGAAGCAGCTACATGATGCTCTCTTTTATGCAATTAAGAAACTGCAACAAACCAATGTTCAAAATTTTTATGTCAGTACTCACTCAAGTAAGTTTGACTGTTTCAGCACAGGCCAGCATGTTTAGTTTTCTTTACACAATGGTACATTGTTAGGAAATGAGGTTTAAAATCAAACTTACAGTAAGCCCATTAATTAATAAACTACTCAAGAACAGTAAATAGAAGAAATAAATACAACAATCTTAGCTTTTCCATTATTGCTAGCACAATAACTTCTGAATGGAGAAACATGAAAAGTATTTAAGGTGTTTCAGACACATATGTGACCAAGTGACAAGTGTTGGCCTAGCTTTAAAAAAAAATATGGTAACATGAAGGGATACAGTTTTGTCCAAAATTTAATTCAAAAAAAGCAGGTAGCCATTTCTTAAACTATGGAGAATGCAATACTTAGAAACAAGGATGCATGTTTTATACTTTTCTGAAAACACTTCATTAGTTGCTCTTCAACAAAAAAGAAGTTCCACTGTTCAGTGAAGTTCAGGCTGATGATTTATCAAGAGACAAAGCTATTTTTTTTTTTAATAAATAAATAATCCCTGCCTGAAATTACTTTACCTCAGTAAAAACAAGGGGGAAGAGGAAGACAATTATTTTCCATTATAGTCATCCCGAATATTTAGGCTTGCTTTTTTCTCCTTTGCAATCACTATGATACTTTTACCTGGGCCTTTCACACAACAAACACGGATAAAGTAAAACTTTATTCTACAACACGATTGTTAAAACAGAGAAATCAGACAAGGCAAAGGCAGCGGTGGCTCAGGCAGAAGCCCGGTGGATTTCAGCGCATGGCGCGAATTTTAGGGAAGCGCAGGTGAGCTGCGCCTGGCGACGATGCCGCTCCGGAGGGCTTGCGGTGAGTGCCAGCCCCGCAGTGAGCGAGTGCCACCCCCGCGGGCAGCGCGGCTCCGCGCCCGCTGGCCCGGTGGCCACCGCCGCCCGCAGGCAGGGCTGGCTCAGTCCCCTCCGTGCCGCGGCCACCTGCCAGCTGCCGGGGCCGGTCCCCAGCGCCACCGCGCAGCCTGTCCCCGGCGCAGCGCCCGCCCGCACGGCCCCGCACCGTCCGGCGGCTCTGCCGGGCTGCCCGGCACAAGGAAAGGCGTGCGAAGCGCTGCGCGCCGCTTTGAATCCTGGGCTCTCGGGGTTGGTTTTTCCTTGTTACTGTTTGCTTTTTTTTTTTTGCTTTTTTTTTTTTTTTTTTTAAAGTGGAAACTTTCCTTTCCCGGCAGAGGCCGGGATAGCGTGAACTGCCCCGGGGCGCCGCGCTGCCATCACAGCTGACAGCTTTCTGGCCCCCGCGCCCCCCCTTCCGCAGCACTAAAAATCAGCGGCTAGATCGGGCCGGAGTTTGTTTTTAATAACGGCTTTTAGCTCGCACAGCCATCTACATCTCCTGCCAGCGAAACAAAAGTCCCGCTCGCGTGCGAGCATCCCGCACAGAACCTCCTCCGCACCGGGGTCGTGGGGGGCGCGGCAGGGACACAAGTGGGGCGCCGGGGGGAAGGAAGTGGGGCCGGCGGCAGTGAAGTTGGGATGGGTTTCATTTATCCCCGGAGCAGAGCCACCGGGAAAGGAAAGTTCACAGCTAACAACAGCGCCCGAGGGCAGCGGGTCCGGGATGGCGGGAGGGGGCTCGCTTTGGGGCCTTCTTCTTACCTTCTGGTCTACGATGGAGCAAGCCATTTCCCGGACGTGGGCGAGGCTGAAGTCCCCCGAGGAGTCCTGAAGCAGCAGCACCGGCTCCCGGCTCAGCCCGATCTGGAGGTGGAAGGCGACGCCGCCGCCGGCAGCAGCCCCCGGCGGCGGCAGCGGACTGGGCGGCCGGATCAGCGGAGGGGCGCTCATCGGAAACTTCCCGCCGGAGCCGCCGCCGGAGCCGAGAAGTCAGGGACGGAGGGGCAGAGTCGGGCGCCGCCGCGAAAAGTTTGCGGCCGCCCCGGAGGCGCCGGGCGAGTTTCCCCGCGAAGTTTCAGGAAAGTCCCGCCGGGCT